AAGATTTCCAGTGCTTCCTGAATGGAAGCTGTTGTTTCCCTTTGAATTATAAAACATCCCACAACCGTGTAGTTAACATTTGTCTTGACAACCAGAAGAAATAATGGTAGGTCATATCTCATTGTCTTGTAGGTTGCATCAAGGAGGGATATTTCATTTCCATAAAGATTCATAAGATGTTTCTGCCAGGCTGTTTGATGTGCAAAGAGGAGTTCTTCAGTCTGCTCACAAGTCTCATCTGTTTCACTTCCTGTTTCCGCAGTAGCTGAGGTAGACAGAGCACTGGGTCGAAAATAGAACGAGTCCTCAGGATGCTCCTCACGCCAATTTTCTATTTTCCTTTGCAGGTTTTCCTGATCCACTTTGGACAGCAATTTTTTTACCGATGCCCGGTACATGTGGTTCCTGACATCCACATCTGTGGGATAGAAGCGCCTGTTTGTAATAGGAGGTGGAGTCTGCCCTGGAAAAAGTTCACATTTCACAAACTGTTTAAGGTGTCTTTTCATTTCATCAACAGTTTTAACACCTTCACCAACAAGCTCTTCAATCTTGTCTACAAGCCGTTTGTCAATTGGTTGCAGAAGACCACCAACCTTATTTGTTGAAAAAGAAGGAAAAAAATTGTGTTAATAACTATACAAATATATAATTTAATATGTATAATTAATAATAATACTGAATGGTCGATGATCCGCACGAGGTTAAGCCAATATTGTGGAATAGTTGTCACTGAGCCTGAGTAGGGTAATAATTATTCTACTCAGGATGTCAGTGGCATCCGATTAGAGGTATATTGCTACTGACATGGGTACTTTAGATTACAGTTTCTGGTATCGACTTATTACACTTTGCATGATGACCTGACTTCCCTTTTAAATTATGGGCACAAATTAATCAGAATGAACTTGTTTATTTTGTTGATCCTGTCTTAAAATCAGAATACAGTTTAATAGACAAAACGGTAGATTAAGAAAGTAAGTGACAGTACAGAAAAATGTGAAAAGGATGATAGCATCAACATGACACAAGCATGAAGCAAAGAAACAAAGCTGAGTCCCTGACAGAAATTGACCCAT